GAATGAGATGTTGGAAGGGGGGGGGAAACAATCACCACAAAATGTCACTTAAGAAACTCGTTTTTCCTATTTTCACAAAAAGAGTCATTTCCAAGATTTTTTACGAACTTATTTTTCTGAACATTTTAATCGATGGAACATGAGAAATTTTCAAAAAAATACTTTTCTCCATACCAAACATATGAGGGACAAAGGATTACAATGTGGGGAACCGAACCTCTTTTTTAATTTTAAAGATGGATCCACTAACCTTTTAGTGTGCCTCGAACCCTTCGGTTGATAGTGAAGGTGCTCAACCACTTGAGAAAACCCCAATTGTCATTTTCTTAAAGTGGAATTCATATATATCCAAACACAATAATTTTAAAATTCTATTTTTCAACTTCATATACTCTTGTTTCTATTTCGACCAAATATTGTCCAAATGCCAATTTCTTTTCTTTTTGTTAGTTTGATATTTTATTTTTCTTTTTTGTTAAAATAAATTATGTACCCCATATAGCAAGATAAAGAGATAGGAACTGTTTTTTTAAAATAAAAGTAAGGGGAGGGATAAAATTTTATTTCTTTTACTCACCTTTCATGAGAAGGTGACATGCTAGTAAAGAAAACTCTAGTTTTCTTTAGATCCATATTCTTTTTAATCCATCTCAACAAACTCTTCATTGCCATCCTATATGCCTCCTCTGTGGATACCTCCACTATATCTTTCACTTCATCATCAAAAGACCCTTGCCTACAAGCAACGGGAAATCCAAAATTTAGACATTGTAAGTTCTGAATCGAAAGAATTAAGTTGTGAAATAATATCATAGCCCAAAACACAAAAGTATTTCCAATCACGTTGCCTTGTGATTGGATTCTAGGGTGGAGCTATATGTTGATCTAAATCCCCTTTGTCAGAAATTACATTATATATAGTAGATGTTGAATCTCTTTAGTTTCTTTCTGTTTTGTATTCCCTTAGTGAAAATTCTGACTCTGTCATTGACATAAAGTATTGAATAATAAACAAGAAGAAAGAGTCAAGAAAATTACAAAATATTAAAATTGAAGCCACTCCTCCACCAAAGGTAAGTATTGAACACAATTATGTTAGCCCCTTTCCAATATTTTCCATGTGTGTTTATTGAATCTTTTCGAACTACTCTTTCTTCAATCCTATGTTTTCCTGGATTATCAGAATTTGATTCAAGCAGAAATGGTGCCCAATAAAACTCAATTGTTGCATTGTAATCCTGAAAAAAATACTCAAATATAAGCTAACTTTATATATTTGTAATATGAAATCAATGTTACTCATAGTTATTATCTCAAAAAGCCATACGTTTCTTCATGATTCAAATTTTGTCAACAAACAAAAAGTGACTTTCTGAGATAGTAAGAGTGACCATCTGAGAATTCAACTTCACGATAGAGTGATATATAGTTTATCTTGTGTTTTCACTCGAGATGGCTAGAGGACGACCAAAGAAGGATTTGAACAAAGCTAATTGATATAGGAAACAAGACTAATGTGAACAATAAAGAGGTAAATAGAGGAAATATACAAACCATTATGCAAGTCAATGATGTTAGTTCATCTCCAATGCAACAATGGTGAATCCAAAATGAAGGATATTTCGTGGTTTTGTTCAATATTATGGAGAATATATATGTTGAACTATTTTCTAGACCATACAAAATATATAGCAGACTTATTATCGTAAGGTAATGGAATTCTGAGTTCAATTTCGATGCTCTCTAAGTCATAACCGTAGTATCCTGAGCTGCATTCTTTATGCTGATGAATGTATAATTGCGAATATATATAGGACATCATATGAAAGGATCCTAGTGGAGATGGATGTTACTCGTGAGTCGTGAGTTGCATGTTAGTGTTCAAGTACACGAGAGAACGTTTGAACAAGCTGTGGAATAAGATGGGAAGCCTACTTATGACTTTACATGCTCGCGAATAGGACATTCATGTCAACTTGCTCTAGAAGTAAAGCGAACACATAAGGAGAACAGAGAAAAACATGTGAATTGAAGGATAAGGTAAACCAAATCAATATGGATGAAAGCTCAGCTAAAGACGAAGATTAGAACTAGTTGGCTAGAAAGGAGAAGGTTCGTGGCATTAACGTTGTACCTAATAACTACAAGAATGGTGTTACAATAACAAATAAACATGGACAAGAATTACTCAATCAACCAACACTGATAATGTAGAAATGATCAATATTTTCAGTCCTCTGATAAGAGAATTGTCGGGTGTGCAAACAAAGTCCCACATTGATAGCTGAAAAGATTGGGAAGTTACATATAAGTTGTATGATCTCTTAATATATAGTGTGAGGCCTTTAGGGAAAAACCGTGCAGGCTTGGCCCAAAGCAGACAATATCATACCATGTTTAAAGTATTTGCGGGCAGGTTGAGCCCAATAAGAATTACATAAAGAAATGGAAGGTCTAAAGATACAGGGCAGAAATTCTTCAAGTTAACAACAATGTACAAGCTAGCTATGTTGCTCAAACTCTCCAAAAATGTTGTTGGACTCGTGTTTAGATCCTCCAAAACTAACTAGTAATGTGTAAGGTCAAAATTTGATAGAGATGATTACCTTAATGTTGAAAACATCGAAACTACCAACAGTTTTCATGGATTTAGCATTCTCAGGAATGATTCTATGGACAAGACAAACCATAGAAACATACTGTCCTCTGTTCAAGGAATCGCCCACGAATAACATCCTCTTCCCTCGAAGTGTTTCCAACATTAATGTCGCGTTGAAACTATCATATTAAGAAGAAAAAAGAACGAATAGAGCTATAAAATGTGATAACAAAAACAAAAAAAGTACAAAGTGTAAACAATCAAGCAGAGTACTTTTAACACAAGTGTAAGACATAGTAACAATATTCATTTTGAGACTCAAAATGTGAAAAATGTCATATAATATATTATGTCATGCATAGAGTTCGTTTGACTTATATTCACTGACAGTATAAAAGAATTTTACCTCGGAAGAGAGCAACCATGAGGTTGCCATCTCCAATGTTGATAGTCTTTATCTGGCCTTCCATGTTCTTGACAAGTCAATTGTGGTTGTATATAAGGACACTCTGATTCTTCATATAAAGGTCTTTTCTCATCCCAAATCCATTTTCCATTGAACACATTACATCCTTCCTTTGTCTCTCCTATAGCAAATGGTAATTTCTCTTTGCTCTTTTCTACCAATAGAATTTCATAAGATACAATTAATTAGTGTGGTGAAATCAGAAATTTCGTTAAAACTGACACCATATGAATAGGTCCACGGTCCCCCCTCCCCCGGATATAGCTTCTTTGATTTCTCGATAAAAACAATATGACTAATAGTGATTCGAATGTATATAATATATTTGATAATACAATAACATACTAAGTACAATCCGATAAGTTACTTTAGAAAGGATAGAATTATGTACACAGATCTACCTCCTATCTTTGTAGGACAGAAAAGTTATTTTCAATAGATCGAAATATGATAAAACCAAGAAAAAAATAAAGTGTTTATCAAACTTACTTGCAAATTTTGGATTTGGCCAAATCAAATTGACCAAGGATGCGACTGATGAAGAAGATGGAAGTAGATAGGATGAGTAAGTTATCAAAAATACAACCAAACTTAGTAATAAAAAAAGATAATTATAAATACTAGTTTTTCTAAAGATGAGTAAAGGAGGAGGCAATTCCATCTATTGAATTTTTTTTAATTTTTTTTTTGTAATATGTCCAAGTGACAAAAATACTAAAAGTTTGAAGCTAAACAAAGGGTAACTTATATTTATTTTTCATGGCTTTATGTAGAATCGTCTAGCATGATTAACATAATGAAAAATTATAGATTAATCAGATTCATTGTTTTTAAATTAAGGTTGGATAATCTTTTTTTCTAAAGTAGCTAGGTAATAAATATCAATAATAATTATTAATGTGTCTACAAAAGCTTTGTGTTCATTGAATTTGGGACAAACTGCATTTCCATTTGTGTTTTTTCCTACTATTAATTTAATTTAGGCAAGTAGATATGGTATGTTATTATTTAATTTGCTTAAAGATTTCGTTATTATTTTTATTCTTAGAAATTGATAACCACATTGCGATTGTAAGGATGCTTATGTTCTTTTTAAAGAAGACTCATGGTAAATACTTATCTGCATTATATATTATTTTTGTGCAGAAAGCATTGATAATCAAGAAATTATAATTGAAACCTCAGTACTATGACTTTCAATGAATTATTGTTCTACAAAAGTCTAAACTTATTTTTGACTTTTACAAGATTATTATTGAAGTCTTGGATAAGATAGTGATCAAGAAACTTATTTTCGTGAGTATTGATTTAATATTAATAAATAAAATTATATTTCTCTATATTACATGCAAGATGATTATGTATTTTTTTTCATTCTTTCCTAATTCATTTGATAACCACATTTTATTCGTTACCATATCTTTTTTATAATACTAATAACTAATAATAATGCTACTCCGTATCCTACTCTCTTTTTTTGTAGGCTTATTCTTTAGACAGCTGATCTGTGACATTATGTAACAATGGAAAATGATATAATCTATCAAAACATCAGTCATAAAAAGAACAGAGTACTATAATACAATACAAAATTATACGATATTATGAAACAATATGTAACGGTCATCCCAACAAGGTTAGGGTACATTTATCCATTGAGCTCTTCAATTAGACAATGAAAAAATACCTTGCATCTAATTTTGGGTAAAAAAATATTGAAACAAATGAGTTCAATCATCCATAAAAAATTTCCTATGGATAAAAAAGCTTTGTAAATAAAAGTTCATTCCAAGTATCTTGAAGGCCAGGCAAACACCAATGAACACAATCAGCATAGCTAAATGGATTTGCTAGTTGCTCTTGTGTTAATTTATTCCATTGCTTCTTGTAAATTGCTGTGTGTGCATCTTTTCTATAACTTGAGAGTTGTGTGATATTGAGAAATGTAATTGGCACTTTTGATTTGCCAAATTCTTGTTTAATCACTTGCATTATGCTTTTTCTACTATCTGATCCCCAATAATTTGGATCCTCTATCATTTTTGTTTCATTGTAACAATTCTTATTTGGTTCACCTCCCCAATCTATGCTCCTGAAAAAAAATAAAAAGCCTCAATATGCATGCCATCGAACTCGATCTATGTCATACGTTAAAAGTTTGACTCATCTATGTCATTTTCCTTTGAAAAAAGGTTCATCCATGTCATTATTTGTTAACTGGAACAATTCCGATTTTGCAAAATCATTTGTTACACGTGGTCAATTCTGATTCGGTCACGTCATTAGTTAAATCATTTTTTTAATGTACAAAGGCTCAAATATGTCATCGAACTTTGATAAAAGGATCATCTATGACATTCGTTAAAAGCTTGGCTCATTTATGCCATTTCAGTTAACAAATAATGGTATGAATTAGCCTTTTTCTCAAATAGAAATAGCATAGATGAGCCAACCTTTTAATAAATGACATAAATGAGCTTTTTTCAAAGTTTGATGTCATATAGCCTTTTCCGTAAAAAAAATGATTCTTCTATTTATTTATTTTTCAATGGAAAATGCAATGCCTAAATTATCAAAATGTTGTTTGGAAAATCTTCTTTTTTTAGATGTAAAAAGTTACTAAATATAGAATAATAATGTGATTGTTTTACTCACTTTTCATGAGAAGGTGACATGCTAGTGAAGAAGACTCTAGTTTTGTTTGAATCCATATTCCTTTTAATCCATCTCAACATACTCTTTATTGCCATCCCATATGCCTCCTCTGTGGATACCTCTACTATATCTTTCACTTCATCATCAAAAGACCCTTGCCTGCATCAATTTTCATTTTATAACATTAAATAATAGAGTCAAATCCAGAATTTAGACGTTGTAAATTCTGAAGAGTACTTCTAATTGGTGACCCTGTGGTCCGAACCATGGGCCAAGCTAGGGAGCATGCATAAGAGGTTCATCCAAACCCCGTTTGCTAGAAAATTACTGTACATACAAACTTAAAATTATTTTTGATATGTACATTTAAATCTCTCTATAACAACCTCTCTAGATCTATTATTGGCAATCTTAGAGATTCTATTTTTATAAAGATGGTTATTATATTACAAAAAAAAGGAAGATAATTATTATAAAGAGATAATTTTATAAAATGAAAAAAAAAACATGTTGTTATAAAGATGTTTGTTGCTATTATAAGTACAAAAATGTTATAGAAAGGTTAAATATAACATAAAAACAATTTTGAGAAAAAAACTTGTTTTTTTTTAGAGGTAATGTTATGTAAGAATGTTGTTATGGAGAGGTATATATGACTGTATTTTAAATTCTTATAGTGAATATACTGACTCAGCCACGACGAAAAGCAATAAATAAAGTAATAGCAAAAGAGTCAAGGAAATTACAAAATATTAAAATGAGGCCCCCTCATCCACCAAAGGTAAGTATTGAAGACAATTATATTAGCCCCTTTCCAATATTTTCCATGTGCATTTATTGAACCTTTTCTAACAACTCTTTCTTCAATCCTATGTTTTACTGCATCATCAGAATTTGATTCCAGCAAAAATGGTGCCCAATAAAACTCAATTGTTGCATTATAATCCTAAAAAAAAAAAAACTCAAATATAAGCCAAATTATGTATATTTGTAACATAATTGTAATGTGTAAGTTCAAATTTTTGCTAGAGATGATCACCTTAATCGTAAAAACATCGAAATTACCAATAGTTTTCATGGATTTAGCATTCTCAGGAATGAGTCTATGGACAAGACAAACCATAGAAACATATTGTCCTCTGTTTAAAGAATCGCCAACGAATAACATCCTCTTCCCTCGAAGTGTTTCCAACATTAATGTCGCGTTGAAACTGTCATGTCACGTAAGCAAAAGGCGTTATAGTAACAGTTAACCTCAAAAGTTAGTTCAGAAGTTCAATACTTTAGTTGTCGTTATAATAACATGGAGTAATGTGTGTTTTCACTCCTTATTCTAAGTTAAAAGTTTAATTTTTGAGTTGAGAATGTATAAGTGGATGAATAAAAGGGGTATAACATTAATTAAACACTATAGCTCATACTTGTTGAAATTTTTGTAACATTTCTCATATATATGTTTCACGTCAAAAATATTGTATTTGATTAAACTCGTAGCTCAATAGCTACATTTGCCATTGGACTAATGGACTCGTGATATGATTCGTCATGCATAGAGTTCGTTTGTTTTATAATCACTGACAATATAGAAGAATTTTACCTCGGAAGAGAGCAATCATGAGGTTGCCATCTCCAATGTTGATAGTTTTTATCTGGCCTTCCATGTTCTTGACAAGTCAATTGTGGTTGTATGTAAGGACATTCTGATTCTTCATATAAAGGTCTTTTCTCATCCCAAACCCATTTTCCATTGAACACATTGCATCCTTCTTTTGTCTCTCCTATGGCAAATGGTAACTTTTTGTTCTTTTCTACCAATAGAAAAGAAAATTCATAAGATATAGTTAATCAACAGTGAAATCAGAAATTTCGTTAAACGTGTTCAAGATTTGATGTAATTATAAGTATCTATATAAGAAGTAAATTTTGACTTGTACATAATATTATTTTTCATAATACACAAGAATTTTTCCCGCACCACGACTTTGATCTGTTTAATTATACGGTTGCAATGTGTGATGTGTGTTAGACGCATGTCACGAGTTTGAATCCTACTACGTATAAAAGGTGATTTAAAAGAATGACCTTGGAGGTGAGTGGTCTTGAACTTTTTACCTTGCTGGCATCATGGACAAAATTTCAAGTTTTTAACAAGTTGACTTTTGGCCTTGAAGAACGTCCGTGGAGTAAACTGGAGCCAAAAGTTCAAGACCACAAATTTTCAAGATTATTGGGTTTAATTTCCAATACAAAAAATATATATATTTAACTAGAGAGGGGTAAAAGGGTGCATAGGGGCCTATTATCCAAAAGAAAAACATTCTCAAAATAATACATATCATCGATGAAGGGTGTTAATTAGTTGATCACCCTTCAATCTATATAGCTATATCATTTGCGGCCATACTCATGCTGAATCCACCGGCTCTAGATTATTATGATAATACTCGTATTGAACCACCAACTCTAAATCCTAGATCCAACTCTACCTCAATAAGGGACAATAATATTGAAGTTTAGTATGAGAGGATTTTCTTTTTTGTTTTGATTGGTTTGTTATGTTCTCATGTTTAGACCAAACAAACAAAAAATGTACAAAAAAGCCAAAAAACATAAAATAAAATATTTTTTCTCTAGACAAGCATGCATGATAAACTCCACCCAAAGGGAAAAAGTGCAAATTAATTAGAAGTACTCACTAATATTACTTGAGATGGAATTTTGTTGTTGGATGGCAATTCTTGGATCAAACTGGCTAAAAAAACAATTGAATTTTTCACTATATAGAATAATGATAAGAACAATAAAGGGTAATAATATTAAGAGGAAATAAGAAATACGAATTTTCCTGAGAAAATAAGAGGAAAAATAAAAAGAAGATGAAGGTGGCTTCATTTTTTTTTGTTTTTATTGGTTTATTTGATGCCTTTTGTAGCCACATCTTTTTTTTCTGTTTTTTTTTTTTTTTTTTTTTGGTTAGGGGGGGAAAATCATCTA